ATAAAGGAAAAATAAATAATAAATTATAAGCTATTAGTTTCTCTCCATATATTGATTATGTTCTTCTATCAAATTAATTCATTTTTTACTGTTAAATTTACGGAAAAAGACTAATGCCCTTTTACTAATTTTCCTCTTTCTTCATTTCCCTTCTTGTTCATTTTCTCACTCTTCACTTTTTCCCCAAAAACCAGTAATATCTATGGTTAGTTTTTGAGATTTGACTTAATTTGTGAATAATATCTTTATTTTTCAAAGTCACAATATCCTGTCTACATTGAGTTTGACCAAATTCTGTTTCATTCTCTTGTGAGGAGTATATATCATACTACAATTATAAGGTTTTATGTCAAATAAATAAATATATGCTTTTGATAAAGGAACGAGATAGTGAATTAGTGAATTAAGCCAAACATCAAGGATTATTTATTAGATTTATCAAAATAAAGGGACGAAATAGTGAATTAACAAATCTCGGGGACTAAATAATACTTTACCCTTAAAAGAAGTTTTTTTTTTTTTTTTAAATAATCTTTAAATATGCATGTTTCTATTATTTGTATAAAAAATCAAATAATAAACAATTTGAGATAAATCTAAATATTAATTATCTTTATTTTTTAAAATTTCACATAAAATATTTCTAATTATTTTTATTCACATACGCACGAAACGCGGTAATACGACTAATTAATATATGTTTATGAACTCAAAATCATCGATCAATATAAGGAGGGATATAGTATAGTTCATGTATCATCTTTCTCTATACCATATTTAATTATTTTTTTAATAAATTATAGAACTCCATCCCAATTATAATTTTAATAAATATCTATGTAAGGATTATCATATTGCAAGTGAGTGAAGAATCATGGGCTAAATTGATCCAAAATGTTAAATATGCTCCTTTGAATTATTTTACAGAAGTTCAAGAATTAAATTGTCTAAAAAGCTAAATGTGATATTTTTAATTATTTTAAGTAAAAATTATAGTGCAATCCCTATAGTTTTGTAAAATACAAATATTTTGTCCTTGTTTTTTTTAAAAATATACTAATTTTTCCCTATATTTTGCTTACGTTATACTATTAGATTCTTCTATTCAATTTTCGTATTTTTTCCGTTAAATCAATAAGAAAACACAGAAAGCAAAGGAAATATACTAAAATATTATACCAAAAAAATTATAATGTAGTCTCTATGGTTTGAAAAATACAATTAATCCGTTTTTGTGATTTTAAAAATAAAATGGGTATTTTCATTATTTTATAAGGTTTTTAGCGAAAAAGATGAAAAAATTAGATGAAGTAAACTATAAGGACATTTTCCGCTTCTTAAAAAATAGGACGGACTAATTATATTTCATAAATTAATTGTATTGTAATTTTCCTTTATTTTAAAATAAATTCTGACGCTAAATTGAGAGGCCTTGAACTTTATTCGAAGAAGAAACAGCAAACCAAATAGCCAAACCACGGACATTTGTCAATTTCTTTTGACCCGCAACTGGATCCGGAATTGACCCGACTGGCCCGAAGTTTACCTGGTTTCAGTAAAGTTTTTTTTTATCAGGACCTGTCTGAAAGTATTCGCTAGTTGCTTTGGAAATACGAAAAAGAGAGAAACAGAACATACTGATACCATGGAAGTAAAGATAGGCAAATTCTTCGAGTCCGTTGCCGACTTCATCACCGGCACCGATCAGATCCCTTGGTGCGACCGGGACATCGTTGCTGTAAGTTGTTTGCTCGTTCTCCTCAATGTTTGAGAATTATCTCTTTTTTTGTCAAATTAAATTTCTCTGTTTGGTATGAAACATATATACAGAATATAAGGTTCCAACTTATATTCTGTGAACAAGCTGTTGTTATGTTTACATTCAAACTCATCTCTCCCCGTCCCCTCTCTCTCTCTCTCTCTCTTCTCTCTCGGCATGCAAACATACAATTTTTTTTCTTTCATTTACTAATTAAGGATGTGTTTTTCGCCAAATGCCGGTGAACTACTAATCTGTAAACTTGTGTACTCATCTGGATTCTCTATTATGGTTTTATCGCCATAAAGTGTTAACAGGACTTGCAACTGATTCATATTTGCAGCTTCTCTTGACAGCACTGGCAGCCCTCTGAAATTAAGAGAGAAGCTGTATCTTCTAGCTGTTGGCTATTATAGGAGCAGCAACTATACAAAGAGCAGGAGGCTGGTGGAAGAATGTTTCAGGGTATGTGAAAATTAGAGAGAAGCTGTATCTTTCTAGCTGATTGGGTATCTATTAGGTGAAGCAGCAACTATACAAAGAGCAGGAGGTTCTGGTAGGAGCCAAAGAATGTTTCACGGGGATATGGCGTTCCTCATTACATTAATCTATAATTAATCATTATCAGTGGCTGGCCTCTCTGTAATAATGCCATTATAATTGTTCTTGTCTTGTTTACTTCGAAAAACGATCATGTTCTTGTTTCTAGTTGATTTGTGGTGCTACTAAGGTGTTGTTACTAAGAAAGAAATAGTTATGAACCTCTGTAAAACAATTATTCCCATCGGGGTTGGTGGCAGGCCCAGTTGGTAAAAAAGAAGACCGCAACCCCTTTGAGGTTATCCTTACTTGGAGGAAAAGAGCAGAATATCGGTAAAAGTGAAATAAATTAACAAAAAATAATATAGTGACTAAGTATGCATAATTGTTACCATATGCAATAAATACAAACCGTGCTTATATGTTATTATCCTCATTCCTTCCAAAATATATTAAAAAAATCATATATATACGAAAATCGACACTGATATTAAAAACCATCAGAAGAAGGTGAGCTATGAGGTTAAATTTGTATCGAATGTTAAGCGGCTCATTCTATAGTCTATGTAAGAGTAAGAAGTAGGGACCAAGACTCATTGGGCTTCCAATTGAGCAAAAATGTGTTGATTATAATTGGTTGATACATTATGTATGCAAAACTGTATTTGCTGCAAAAACCATAATTTCCCTGCAATTGAGCAACGTCAATACCAACTTCTGAAATATAATCTGTTCACACTCATAGCCATTCTATCCCAGTGATAGTGATTGAATCACCGATGTACGATTTCTGCGGTATTTTTTTTTTTTAGGACTGAACCTGAGCGGAGGCACACTAACCCCTGAAAGAAAGCAATTGAAGGCCAGATTATTGAAGGCCAGATTAGAAAAGGTAACAAACAACAATCAGTCACAAATTACCCCCTCCTCCCTACCCAAATAATTATGATGATGTGTTCTATTGAAGATGAAATGGTTTTTCCTCTGCATTTGTTGTTTTTGCGCATGGTTTGATTGGTATAATTGGTATAGGCATTGCTGCTACAGCTGTGGGACTGGTTGCTGGCGGACTTGCTGCAGCTTTGGCACGAAGGTAACTGACTATGCCTTTCATTTCCTCCAGTGTACAGAAGCAGTGCACTAAGCACATCCTTGTTCTTTTGTTCTTTTGTTCTTTGCATTGTGTATATATTAAACAATGTTGGAGAGGTTGCATTTTTGCTCACAGAATTAACAGATTTCTTCTTTAAATGGTTACGAGTGCCTACTGATTCTAACTGACTATGCCTTCCATTTCCTCTAGTGTACAGAAGCAGTGCACTAAGCACATCCTTGTTCTTTTGTTCTTTTGTTCTTTGCATTGTGTATATATTAAACAATATTGGAGAGGTTGCATTTTTGCTCACAGAATTAACACATTTCTCCTTTAAATGGTTACGAGTGCCTACTGATTCCTCTTGAGATTTTCTCTACTTGTTTTTCTTCCTTACCTTGTATACATATATCTTTGGAGAGCCCTTTAAGATTGAATTCACATATGCATATGAAAATTATGCATGCAAAGCTTTTACAAGACAGAAGTTTTGTGATGGTTGAATATATAAATTTATTTTTGAATTTTGTTACTTATGACGTTCTCGACTTTTAATTTGATCTATCAAATACTTAAACTTATAAAGTATAATTTATTAAAAACTTCAACTTATTTATTAAAAACTTCAACTTACAAAATCATTCCATGAATATGCAATTTATAAAATTAGATTAATTAAACACTTATTAAATAGTTGAAAAATGTAAATTTTATTGTTTCAAGAGTTAGTTTAGATACGTGTGTAATGTCATCAAAATTTACAAATTCAATACATGATAGGTCATTTACAAAGTTCGTTAAAGTTACAAAATTTATGTACAAGGATGAATTTATATATTCGGTGGAGCATAAGTTTCATTTAGATGGTAATTTTTCTATATCATTAACAATGGTTAGAAATTATTGCCTCAGCACCCAAATTTAACTGTGAACTGGGGAAACCATCTCTGGAGATGGTTCCAAATTTTTTTTTTTTTTTTTAATCTTTGGCTTGAGAAAATTATTATTTTTATTTGGCCCTCTAAATTTTTGAAATTTTTTTTGCCCCCTATGTTTGATTCCTTTGCCCCCTATGTTTGATTCCTTCTCCCTGCTCCACCATACACCTTAAGCATATAGATCATCACTATCTCAAAATATGAGGTTAGAACAACTCACCACTCTAGGATTACAAAACATCACCATAAAGATTATGTGATACAACAAAGATATATAGAACTCAAAGATAAACCAAAAGGTTTAATTTTCAGTCATAATAATTTGATTCCCTTTTCAATACATGCATGCTAATTATATTACTCAGACAACTCCCCAAGTTTATACTTAACTTTATAAATACTACAACTGATATTCATGTCTTCTAATGTGTATTACTAACTCTGTTCAAACTAAAGAAGGATAAATATAGATAAGTCCAAACACATCCCAATTACTTATTAATTACTTACTCTTGTGCTTCATCTGGCTTTAGTTAATTTGCTCCTTTGTCACCTAAACCTGCAGTAAAGAACACACTGTTTGTATAACAGTACTGTTTGTATAACAGTAAGTAAAAGTAGAATAACAGCTCCAATAACAGAAACTCCAGCCCACGGAGTGTTGAAATACTTCTGTTTCAAATTTGCCTTCCATTTGTGCCAAGAGGTTTTGCAATAGACATTCAACTCGTCAATTAAAATAAGAAAATAGAACTTATTTGGGAAGATAATATTTTCTTCGTCAATTTTACGAAAAAGAATTGCCAAGGCTTCATTTCCCTGCAACCCATTTTCTGCAATTCCATTTTCGACAAGTAATTCCACATCCTTTGAACCATTCACAAGCTTAGCCATCAGTGCAATATAGTCACCAACATAATTATCTAAGCAATTACATTGCTCAAAAGCTTGTAGATTTCTCAATAAACTTTCTGTACGATCACCTATTCCAAATCGAGGAATTTCCAAAATCCCATTTCTAAATTTTATGTCAAATATATTTTTGCTTGAACTCGCTCGAAACTTAACTCCAGCTTGGTAGAGCTCTGTTATACTTGGTATCACTAGCATTTTTATGTCCTGATGATGTGGCTGCAATAACTCCATTGGCTTTTGACACTTTCTTATGAAATCAAGTATATGTTTTATCTCATTAGAAGAAGAATTACGAATCTCCAAAATATAATCCGTCACCCATAAATCCCATCTATTTTTGAATAATTCGTAGACGAGCTTTAAAATAGAAATTTCTCCAACATGCAGTATATTAGATAGCATAAATAAGCCTTCAAGAACGAAAAACGGAATTTGATTCTCAAGCAACAATAAATCAAAGCTTATATCCCGAATCATCCATGGTTTGTTATATACGCGATCACTTTTATTTCGCAACTCTACAAATGAAAACCTTAATAAAATCATAATAACAAAGATCGCATCTAGCAATATCATCTTCACAAAATCGTAACTATTCAGTTTGATATTTTCAGCATAACAATTTCGTAATCTATCTTCATTTAATCTATCTTCATTTTCCCTAATAAATTTAATACTGTCCTCAAATTTATCTCGCCTCAGTTTGAAGAAAAATTCTTGCCAAGTATCTTAAAACTTATGGTTCTTCCATTTGCTTTCTAGATATTTTTGGGCATTGGTTTGAAACGGACTCCAATAGAGACTACACGAGGTGTGTACGCTTTGTCGTTTTAATTGGCGCAGTTCGATCAGGCATCGATCAGGCACTCTGTAGATGCAACATTTATCTGATAAAGGATGCAAAATTTCCAATTTGTGTCTTATTTTTGTTGCTAACTCGTTAATATTAAGCAAAACGTGACTTCTGTTTTCCATCTGTTCGAAAATGAGAAAATTACAATAATGAATAATTAAAAGAATATTAAGCAATAATTGCTTATATATCCACCAATGTAAATTTACGAGTAGTGAATTTATGAGTTGCTAGTTTTAATATTGCAGTGAGAATATTATTTTAATTTCTGTTAGGATTTATTTAGCATATACTAATTCATTATTACTAAATTTTAATAAAATTCTTATTACTTTCATTCTCTGTAAATTTATATACTAATTTTTCGTAAATTATATTTTATTTCAATCCAGATATTGCTAGTTTTATGCTGTAGAGTTTATAAGGATTATAGTGTGTAATAAAATATTATTTTAATAAATCATCGATCAGTTAATGACGGAGTCAGGAATTAAAGTTAAAGAGGCTAAAAAAATTTCAAGAGTCAAGGGGGCGAAATTGAAAAATATTACTATTTTAATAGGTAAAATAAAAAGATTTTAATATTTTATGAGTATTTTTTTAAAAAAATATTTTGTTACAGGCCACCCCTGGACTCCCTAGCTCCATCAATGGACCCAGTAAAGACAGAGGGTGAAGGGTTAAAGAGTTGACAGTTGAACCAGTATTTAGTTAAATATATATTAAATATAAAATAAAATAATTTGAAATTAATAAATTTCATCAAAAATTATGTATGTAAATTAAAATAGATTGAAAATTTTAAAATTTTAGATTGAAAATTTTAAAAAAGATTGAAAATTTTAAAATTTCTTAATTATGATAATTAAATTTCACTATAGTAATAATTTTAGCAAATAGTTAAAAATAAATATTATATTAAAATAAAATAAATAGTAAAAAATTAAATAACTATATTTATTACCTTACTAGTAATATCTGAGTGTTCAATAATTATATATATATTGACTAAATAAATAGATAATATTTTAACCTCATAAAAAAAAAAGTTAATGTTGCATTTGTTATAAATGAATTTAAAATATGAAATTCATTTGTAAATGAATTTTCATGCTTGATAATCATGTATGAAATAAATTCACAATTAAATATTCATTTGTTTCTGTTTTCTGTTCCTAAATATCCTTGAAAAAAATAATTTCATAAAAATAAATAATAAATACTAATTAATATTCATGCTATGATATAAATTTTTATATTTTTATTAAAATAAATATATAAAATAAAAATAATATTAATAAAATTATTACCATTTAATTTAGTGGATAAATATATATATTTTACTTGAATCCTTCTGAGCATAAACAAAAATATTAAAATAAGTGAAAAATATAAAATAAAAAACAAAATAGATAAGAAAATGTTTTTCAAAATAATTTTTTTTAAATGGTTTGGTCAAGTTGATAAAAATATATTAAGTTTAATAATTGAAAAAATATGACCCTTGAAGCAAAAAGACCCGTAAGTTTTAGTCATAAAATGTTTGATGAATGGTTTTTGTGAATTCATTTGAAAATTCCACCTATTTTTATGGATGTGATTGTAGTTATGTTCAATTCCATATTATTGATTGCTAGAATTGAAATCTTACATTTTAATTTTTCATTCCAAACAGCAAAAATTGATTTCTAAATGAATTCTATAAGATTTTGGTGAAAATTCAATTTTGTTCCAAACAAGGAGTAAGACGTATTATTTATTATTAAATAAAATTATTTTTATAGATAAGAGAAAAATATATAATTTGAGAAAAATAAGATTCTATAAAATAAAAAAGAAACTTAACGATATGCAATTTAAAGATCGAATAAAAATGATATAATAATTGAGAGAAAATGTAATTAATTATAATAAATATTGAAAATATATAATTTTTTAAAGTAATTTAATACAACAATTACAAGACCTAGTGGTTAGCACTTTAGTACTCTTAGCATTAGGTCATGGGCCAATATCTATAAAAAGTATTTTGAAAAAAATATATATACCAGTTAAAACAGTCAATTTTGAATAAAAGAAAATTTGAGGGTAAAACTGACTCCTCTTAATTCTCGATAACCAGTCCCATTGGGCGTTAAAACCATGATTTAGACTTTTTTTTTTTTTTAGTATTGGAGACAGAAAATTCGAAATTGGATCTATTGCTAAATCTTATATGGACTTAATAGGCTATGCCTTGGTGTGCATGATTTAGACTAATTTGAACGAGTTTTTAAGTATTTGTTAAAGAATAAAAGCTACATTTTCAAGAGTTGAGAATATGAATGAAGGATGATTTTACCACAAATAATTAGAAGTAGTTTCTAGTTATAGTATCATTAATTGGGCACCATTGATGTGGAAGACTAGAATGGATATTAATGATAATAGAATGGGTGAGTCTATGACATTCAGCATCTAAAGTTAAAGCACTTGTTTGGCTTGTAGGTTGAATAGTGACTTGCAGAAATGATGAACCACGTGATAGCTTAATATTGGTCAATGGTTCATTACTAAACTCCTTAGACCAGAAATGACAAGGTCATCCCCTATATAGGTGATCATGGGAAAATTTGTACCATAGAAGTTATTCATATGGGAAAATGTTTTTGGCCCAACTTAGGTATGGAAAATACTTACCTAGACTGGATCCATAGCCTCGTTTATAGACCAAACCAATGAAATTAAAGACTTTTATTAAAAGGGAGGTATTTCTGACCTTGCATTTGAAAAAAAAGATAAAGTCAAAAAACTTTTTAAAAAATTTTTAGTTTCATTTGTTTGGTCTATGATTGATACTTGTAAACAAAGTCTATGCAAGTTTTTTTCATTAGTTATACAGAAATGCTGAGTATGAGAGAGAATGAAAATTTGTAAAGTTATATTATTACTTTCCTTTATGGAGTTTAAATTTGTGTCTAGCACAAGTTGTGCCATTTAGAAAGACCCTAAACATGTTTATTTTATACCATAGTCTACATTTTAATTATATGAAGAAATCTAAAGTAATAAAAAAAAGTTTGTGAGAATTAAATTAATCATCAAGTTTCTTTTCGCTTTTGTTATGCATAATCTAACTAACATGTTCTTAAAGATAATAAAATGTTTGAGCTTAAAGATAATAAGTTTATATACAAGTGTGGAAGCTTCTAGCTGTAGTTTGTTGTTATTGCTACTAACAATCTAACAAATTACCCAGCTAAGCACTAACAAACAAAAAGCTCAGTATTAGCATAAATAGCTGTATAACTAAAACTCTGCGTTTCATTTGAAGCTGTATAACTAAAACTCTGCGTTTCATTTGATGACATCTACTGTGTGAGATGTGCTGTCGTTTTGTTCATTCCACACCGTTTCATTAAAGCAGGTTTTATCTTCTAATAGTGGCTGAAGCTAACTTATCATTACAAATATCTTTAATCCTTAACTATTACATATAATAAACATATAAATAATTAAATTTCATTCCATAAATTAATGCATGAACTTTATAAGAAAAACCTAACTATACTCTTAATTTATAAATTGACTCAACGGATCTTCAATTTGTAAAATTATAATTATTGAATATTTCAACTTATAAAATAACATATATTGAACTCAAATTATATGGTATTCAATTATCAAAGTAAAGTATTATATTCAGCGAGTGGTTATATATCTTTTAATATATATTATCTTACTAAAATACCCTTACAAGATTATAAGATTTCCCTATTCACATATACCAAGATTTATCGTTCATGACTAATTAAATATAGAGTTGAATTTGATTATTTATTTTGAAACTAATTAACTCACCAATTTTATATTCATTCTACGTATGTAGCTTGTTAATTTAAATTTTTTGTCCTTTAGTGTTAATTTAATTTAATTGTGTTAATTAAATAACATCATTACTAAAATTCAAGATTTGAAATCTCCAACTAAAAAGTAAAAATAATTCATATTATATTTTTTATTTTTAAACATCCGGTTTGCTAGGTAGGCCCACAAAAGAGAGCAAAGCGCTCACTCTTGAGTATTTAAAGGGACTTCATAGCAGGGTTCGAACTCGAAATTTCTAGTTAAGAGAGAAGAGATCTTTGCAATCTCATTTCACCCATCAAGGGTAAAATAATTCATAATATATAAGAGAAGAGATAGCACAATAAAATCTCACTATAATGCTTTATTTGTTTCTGTAAAATAACTTGCAGGAAAATAACTTGCTAAAAAATATTTTCCATGAAAAATATTTTCCAAATGACTTATTTTTCGTTATTTAGTGTGGTAATATTAATAATTAGTTAAAAATATTAAAGTTTTTATCTTATAAGACCATAAAAAATATTAATATAATAGAATTTTATAATTTATAAATAATTTATAAATTTTATTGTTAAATATGATAAGAATATAAAAAATATATATATAAATTATGAAAGTCGCCGGTGGCCCGTGGTGGTGGCCACTAGTGGCTGGTGGTGGCAGCTAGTGGTGGTAAATGATGAATGGTGGTAGTGACTATGATGATTAATAAATTAAAAAAATTTGGATCTATAAGGTTTTTCAATTTCCACAAAATATTTTACTCTCTTGAAAA